TTTCTTCATTTTTCTCATGTGGAAGCAGTGAAAGTAACTTCTGTTGGAAGATGATGTTGATGTTTTTTTTTTCTTTCTTTCTTTCTTTCAATAATGACGTGGCGGAGGTTGAGGGTAATTAGTCGGCTGACGATGCCCAAGTAGGAATTAAGTTTGCTTTAGTCTTGACTTAGCTGAACCGCACCAATGGAGGAGGAGAGAGGGATCATTAAAAACTGAACTCTAGGAAGAGAGATGTCCATTTATGCGTAAATGGTCACATCTTAAGTCGCTCCAACTTGCAGCACCACCTTATCAGCCATCTTATTATCTGCTGATCGTATCCTCTAATCAGATCGTACATCCAAGACGAACTCCATAGAGATGATGAAAAAGAGTTGCAGGTCGACCGTAACATTCATGCGCGTACGCGGCTTTTTGTTAGTACGAGTTTTCTCCAGGTTCCATAAAAAAGACATTAAAGATGCGGCTGGAAGACCATTGCAAGAAAATCCCTAAGTAACTTTCGAAGGTCGAGGGTTCTGATCGCCGATCGTAAACTCGTACTCGCAAAAAAGCCGCGTACGCGCATGAATGTTACGATCGACCTGAAGGCTGATTATTTTCCGCGTCGATATCCGAGTCGATAAGTTAACGACTCACGGATAACGACTGAATTCTAACGACGTCCTTTAGCCGAGTGATTATTTACATCGAATTCCGCTGATCGTTATTCATCATTCGATAAGTTACCGTCGTTAAGTTAGCGATCTGGGATCCCAACGTTGCCGACGTGAGAGATAATAATCAACCAATCAGAGAGCGTTTATGATACAAGCAGCGCTCCAACTGCGCGGCGGCGTAAGTTGAAAACAACACATCTCTTTTCTTGACGTCACGCGGGTATTTTTTTAGGTTAGGTTAGCTTGCCGCGAATCGTTAGCTTAGAGGTTGCCGTGGAGCAACCTTTAACTTATCGACGGACTCAAATATCCCGCCACGGTTTAACGATCGGCGCGGAGTGAAATAATCGCTCGATTATAATTTTGCCGCTAACGACGGCGTTAACGTAACGATTTCAATATCGACGCGGAAAATAATCAGCCTGCTGCAACTCTTTTTCATCATCTCTTTGGAGTTCGTCTTGGATGTACATTCTGATTAGAGGATACGATCAGCAGATAATAAGATGGCTGATAAGGTGGTGCTGCAAGTTGGAGCGACTTAAAATGTGACCATTTACGCATAAATGGACATCTCTCTTCCTAGAGTTCAGTTTTTAATGATCCCTCTCTCCTCCTCCATTGGTGCGGTTCAGCTAAGTCAAGACTAAAGCAAACTTAATTCCTACTTGGGCATCGTCAGCCGACTAATTACCCTCAACCTCCGCCACGTCATTATTGAAAGAAAGAAAGAAAGAAAAAAAAAACATCAACATCATCTTCCAACAGAAGTTACTTTCACTGCTTCCACATGAGAAAAATGAAGAAAAAAAAGAAAGAAAGGAAGAGGGAAGAAAATAAAAAAAAAGTTTGTTTTATTTAACGTCTCTTAGGCACTCCAACTCTCCTACGTACTTTCGCATGGATTATCATTTTTTTTTCCTCTCTTTTTGTATTATTTGTGTTATTAGCATTATCATGTTTAGTAAAAATGGACTTCTTAATCGTTTTTGAAGACTTAGAGAAAGGATCGATGAGAAAAAGAGGCGACATGGCCGAAGGAGAGGCCGCGTAAGAAGACGGCGTGCGGGCGCGGTCCGGTAATAATGGGCGCAGCCTCGTGAGCGTCGGAGTTGGAGCGGTTGAGGAGCCAAGGTATGGGTGGCGGGGCAGCGGAGAGGGGTCGGAGAGGACTGGAAGGGAAGGGCACGAGTGGCGCCGCACACTGGTATGGCTTCCGGCGGGAGCGCGCGAAACCTCCGTTTACGCACATAAAACGGCGAATATTTCGAAAACCGCACATGGGATCTCTTTGGGCCCCATAGAGCTTTTGATCAGATTGACGAGCTGAGCAACATATCCAAGCGGCATCGCGTTTGACTGGGGGAGATTTCCCATAAGGAAGGTGCGGGGTTCTTTTCAGACCCCCAAAAAATTTTGGGGAGGCATGGAAGGCAAAACCTGTGAACCTTCATATCTCTAGAAGGAAGAAAGATATCAAGGTGTGGTTCGTACAAAAAATCGTCTAAAATTGCATACTTTACGATTTTAAAGGTCGAAATCCCGAAATCACTTTTTTAAGTCAACATATGTGTCTTTTTCTAGTTTTTGGGTCTAGAAAATTTCTTGTAAGCGAAGAAATTACAAAGATCTCAATTTGTTATTTGAACCGAAACCAGTTTCTTAAATTGTTCGTCTTTTTCGGAATCCAACGAGTGGTCCATTAAGCTGGAGAACCAAACGGTTTTGGAGTTATGAGCGATTGAAGTTTCCGCCCAACGCGGGCCGACCGATTTTCGCGCGCTAGAAAAGTCGGCTTTGACCGTTATTAAATCAGATTGAATGTTCTAACCGTGCAAAATGCTCTTTGATGGACTCTTGAGGGTCGCCGAGTTCAGAAATTACAGATACTTCCAAAAAATTCTCTTTTTCAAAATTACAGCTCTGTAACGCTATTTTAGAGGCCCACCAAGCGTCGACCGGCCGCTCAGTGGGCCTGTACAGGGCTATCATTTTAATCAAGGGAATTTTTTGGAAGTATCTGTAATTTCTGAACTCGGCGACCCTCAAGAGTCCCTCAAAATGCATTTTGCACGGTTAGAACATTCAATCTGATTTAATAACGGTCAAATCCGGCTGTTTAGCGCACGAAAATAGATCGGCCCGTGTTGGGCGGAAACTTCAATCGCTCATAACTCTGGAACTGTTCGGTTCCTCAGCTTAATGGACCACTCGCTGGATGCAGAAAAAGACGAACAATTTTAAGAACTGGTTTTGGTTCAAATAAAAAATTGAGATCTTTGTAAGTTCTTTGCTTACAAGAAATTTTCTAGACCCAAAAACTGGAAAAAGACACACATGTTGACTTATAAATGTGATTTCCGGATTTCGACCTTTTAAATCATTAAGTATGCAATTTTAGACGAGTTTTTATACGAACCGCACCTTTATATCTTTCCTCGTTCGAGAGGTATCAAGGGTCACAGGTTTTGCCTTCCATCCCCCCTAGCGCCTCTGCAAAATTTTTTGGGGGTCTGAGAATTTGGGAAAAGAAGCGCTCAAGTACTACTAATCAATTAACAAAGTCTGAAGAAATGCCAGAGGGGGGGGGGGCAAAAAAAGCCGTTTTTGCATAAGGCTCTTTCGATCTCTTGACATGAACAACTAAACCATTGACGTCAAACCAGTTTACAACATTATTCATGTCAGAATTCAACCTCCAGACGTGGAAAATTGACACAATATGTGGATACAGCTTCCAATCTTCAGTAAAGAGTAAATATTTCGAGAGTTTCACAACCTTAACAATGCCATTAATAAAAGTTAGGAACAGGAGATCCTCAAGATCATCTGTGGTACCTTCAGGTACACCAGACAGTACGTGGATAACAAATGAGTGAAAGTTCTTAATCCAAAGAATTCTGATTTGTCCTCGATTCCCTCCCATTATGGACTACTGTGCGGCCAAAATTGTTGAAACTGAACCCAGTCATGTGCACGGGGGCCCAAGAAGAACATTTACTGCCAAAACCGATCAAAATTGTAACTTTTTTGTCCGTTTTTCCCGCCTTTTTGCTGTTAAAATGCTGTCAAGAATGTTGGCGAGTTGGCAACTTTGCCCCCTCATTACTCAAAAACCGTTTGTATACTCCAGCTAAAATTTGACCTGAGTTTAAGGGTATCACAAGGTATTGTTAGGGCCTGGTTTCAGAAAAATCCCTGCGGTCCCAAATTATGCAATTATTATGGTCGTTCTTTAAAAGTAGATGTTTAAAAAAACAATTTTTGGCCCTTTGTTGTTTTAAGTTAAATTTTGAGTTTTTATAAAAATCTAATGTCTAATTTGTTGTTTTTGTGTTAAAATATCACACGAAAGGGTTGTTTCAGGGTGAGTTTCATAGGCAAATCCAGCGACAAAAAACCTAGGTTCCAATTTTCGGCCATTCTGAAATTTAACCAGCCGTCATTTTGAAAGGGTTTGACATATTGACTGCGGGTTTGTGCGAACAATTTTCTTTTTTCATACTCTTGCAAACGAGGCACTACTCATAGAGTCTTTTTATTGGAAGTAAAAGTTAGGGTGTATGCAAATAAAAGGATGGAGTGCAAAAATCAAAGATAGAGGGATGTGGAGAGGAATTGTTATGGAGGCCAAAGCCCACCCAGGGCTGTAGCGCCGTTAGTAAGTAAGTAAGTAAAAGTTGGGGTGTTACTGCCCCAATGGAGGCCCCCTGAAAATTGTCGGGGGGGTGACAAAGTTCCTCCCTTTGACCTAGAAACGTCCTCCAAGGTTCAAATCACCATCTCAATCAGGTCAAAAGTTGGGGGGGGGGACTTTTCGAACACCCTGTATGTTTGCAGAAAATGGAGCTCAGATCATCAAGTTACCAGAAAACGTTCGGGAAATTGGAATTGAAACAAGTTAAAAGAATTTTATCTTTTTGAGTTGGAATGATGTACTTGCACTGAGCTGATAGGACTCTAAAAAGGGTCAGATTAGTGCTTTGGGGCTCAGGATGCTGAGGGACAAAAGGGCCTGCACATAGCAAGTTGTATACTTGAAATAGATAAAATCATCTAGGGCTTTGGGGTGTTCCTGACTTATCCGGCTGTGGTTTTGAGCTCAGTAATACCAAGTCATCCCGACTTTCTATACTTTATGCTCTATGGGTGATAAACGAGATCAAGCAATTCTACTGACTTAGGCGGATTGTGGACTTGTTTAGGCACTGAGTCATAGCAGTTTCACTACACACCCATTTATGAAGCAATGCAGTTAAGGTGTCGGTTTCTCCGTTTTTAGCATTGAGGTAGGCTGTAGTAACATTAACATTAATGCTGTCATTCCTGTTTGACTAGATACTATGCAGCTTCAACCCCAGGAAGTTTACCAGTTCAGCAGGCCCATTCTACCACAACACCTCACGACTCGTCAACACCCCATTCTGTGCCGGCTATTCCTCCAGCGCAGCCCACACCTCCTCACAGCATGGTAAATAATAATTGAACTATTGTTTAAACATGATAACTAAATCCATCTCTCATATGTTGCAAGAGACATAATGAAAAACTTTTATCTCAGGACATGTTGAATTTTTAACATAAAACAGAGGTGCTAGTTGGCAAATTCAGTGAAAATGTGAGGAAGGCTCGTTCTTAAAACCTTTCCTTCTTCTCTACCTAATGAAAAACGTCAAAAAACACTGTGGAAAGATGATTCAATGAGGATATGAACAGCCACGGCTCCGTTGAAGGAAAGTTATATGAAAAGTGAATGTACATCTCCGATCTCTTCGGCATCTTCAAGTAGGGTAAAAATACTATGTTTTTAGCCAAAAATCGAAATGCGTTGTTCGAGCTCCTCAAAAGATATATCGACTTTTAGGTTTTTTTCTCAAAAAAATCACGAAATCGAAGAGATTTCCATTTTTTTCAGGAACAAATCTTATCGCAAACTAAAATCCAATTATACCGTTAAAAAGCTCTTGCTTTCAGCTTTCTAACGGTCTATAGGTTTTGTAATTTGGAGCAACTGGCCGCCTATAAACTGAATTTTACTGCAATCATTTCAAGGAATTTTCCGCCAACTCGGACGGCCGGTTCCCTTGCATTTATCTCGGCTGTTTTTGAAGTTAAGAAAAAAAACATGTACTCCGTTAGAAAGACCACACTCTCAGCTATCTATTGGTATAATAATTTTTGAATTTTGAGCAACTCAACGCCGGCACGTAGGAATTTTTCGAAACTATGTCCATAAACGAAGAAATACGGGTGGCTTCAGTCAAAGTCAATTTCTCGCCGCCCAAATGCACCAAAATGAAAAACTAACATGTCGTTAGAAAGCTAAAATCGTCAGCTTTCGAATGGTACCCTGGGTTTTTGTAGCGTTAAAAAATCTTGATTAAAAAACACGTCGGAGATGAAACCCTGTACTTTGACTACTCTTTTTTCTAGGGAGGCATCTCTTAATTTTTCCCCCGTCATTTTTGGGGAGAGTTTGGTCACTCTGAACATTACCTGGGAGTCCTGTGTCTCATATAACACATTATGAATCACACCTATCACAGTGAAAATTTATGGTTGCCAAATTTGGCCATTTATCATAGCTTTTCCAAAAACCCTCGCCAAAAAGGGGTGTTTTAAAGCCCCTTTTTGGATAACCGTGTTGGTCAACCGGCCCTAGGCCTCAAATGAAAGCTTATGGTAAGGCAAACTTCCAGGCAAAGTTTTAACTTGAAGTGACACTTCGTTTCGGCTGTACAATTAAGGCCGCACAGTTCCAATTGTTCATTTTTATATGCTAAAATCAAGGAATTTTCATCTCCGATGTAGAGTCGTGTTTTTTAATCAAGATTTTTTAACGCTACAAAAAACCAGGGTACCATTCGAAAGCTGACGATTTTAGCTTTCTAACGACATGTTAGTTTTTCATTTTGGTGCATTTGGGCGGCGAGAAATTGACTTTGACTGAAGCCACCCGTATTTCTTCGTTTATGGACATAGTTTCGAAAAATTCCTACGTGCCGGCGTTGAGTTGCTCAAAATTCAAAAATTATTATACCAATAGATAGCTGAGAGTGTGGTCTTTCTAACGGAGTACATGTTTTTTTTCTTAACTTCAAAAACAGCCGAGACATGGACCAAGAGAATAAATAAGGACCCCCAACTCCGGTTAGCGCTGACATCAGCGCTCCCTGGCAGAGGGTGTAGTGAACTGAACCGATGATTCGGTCTTCCTGTTTATATTTCCATGCACCACCTATTTAGGCTTATCACTCAGTAGTGCTCATAGAAGTTTCTAGATCCTCGTATCCTCGTGGTCGCCCTGCAGTTTTGAAGAGTTTAGTGTGAAAAGTTTCCCATTTTCATTTCAATCTTCGTNTGAGGAGCTCGAACAACGCATTTCGATTTTTGGCTAAAAACATAGTATTTTTACCCTACTTGAAGATGCCGAAGAGATCGGAGATGTACATTCACTTTTCATATAACTTTCCTTCAACGGAGCCGTGGCAGCATAGAATGCTGAAAATTGCGCTGTTTTTTATATCTCTCCCCGCCTATGTACGCTTTTCTTCATATCTGTTCAACTTCTCCCAAGCTTTTCAACTGAAGATAAAGAAAGCTTTCTAAACTTTCAATACTCTCATTTTATTTGCCCAACTGAAAGAAAAAGTAAAGTTGAGGAATGTTTGTGTAAATGTGAAGGAACTGAAAATCGCACTATTCTTGACATTCTTGTATAACTTAAGCTTTTTTCTGCTCTCTACTGAAGAATGTGGAAACCTTTCCTCATCCTCCCTCCTCTTGAACGAAAAGCGTAGGTCTCTACGCTCCATACTGTAAGGACAGTACTATTAAAACGTAAGAGACGCCAAGAAATTGCAATTCTGTAAATTTTTATCCACAAGTTTGTTTTTTGTGTGCCTTTCATGTACCATTTGATCCTTCAAAGAGAAATTGTTAAAGGTCTCTATGTTCTGAAGACCTTCCTTTGTCCTTCCTTCACCCTCAATAAACAAAAAAACAGTTTGAAGTTATGGAGTAGTAGTTGATAAAGGATCCTTGCATTTGAGATATTTTTTTAAAGATATCTCTCAACAGTTTTTGCTGTTTTATGTCTTTTCTCATTTGTACAACCTTTCACTTCGTGATAATGACCAGGAGGGATGCATCATAAAAGTTGTCCATCGGTAAACCCATTTCAGTCTTTCACCTGAGGACATCACGCTTCTGCTGCTTCCTCATGATCTATCAGTTGAACCATCCTCATGTGATATCCTGTTTTTGCCAGTATCAAACAGTTATTTAGATTAAAGTATTCCGACAAGTGGGTATCAATTTGAGGAAAAACTTCTATAACTCATTGGATTGCACGCAAGGGTTGTAATTCAACTTGAGAAAAAGTTTGAATTTGTAGAAAATTTTGTAGAAAGCTTATGAAAAGCGAATTTAAAAAAGTCATTATGTGGGCTTGTAAAATTATGAAGGGCTGAAATCTTCTGCACCCCTGAAAAGTATTATGTCTTACTTTTGGAAAGTGAAAACCTCAAATAAGATTTTCTCAAGTTTTTAGCTTCCTCATGGAATTAAAAATTTACTGATAGATATTTATAAATCTTCCGTCGCAGCTAACCTTATTTGAAGGGGGAGGGATTCTCAGGTAGGTAAAATCCTACGATGCATGGTATAAGGATGCTTTATCAATTATTTTTGGTTCTATAGTCATTAAATGTCTCAAATCATCCAGGAGTAGACAGAATGCCACCTCAGGATAGCTCTGATCAGGGTGTTTTAAGGTCTGGGAAATCGGGAAAAGTCAGGGAATTTCAACAGATCAGGGAAAACCAGGAAACCCAGGGAATTTTACGAATAAAACTGGAAGTTTTTTCAAAAGGTGCGTTCACTTGGCCTGCTGGGCTGCACAGTAGGCTCTATTAGGAGCATGTAATAGTTTCCCGCACGCAGCTAGCGCTGATGGCACCGATGCTGTCTCTGAACCCTGAGTCTCTTAAGATAGCTACAGGTTTGCCGTGATTTACTCAAGGTAGGTTGAGGTATTACCACAATTTTCTGAAGGTCCTTGAGGTTTACCTTGCAGGAATTAGTGTAACTAAAACACAAGCTATGGTGAAGAAATCAAGGCAAACCTCAAGCTGCCTCAAGAAAGTCAAGGTTTGCATCCAGTAGAGAATTTTCTGTTGACAAATTTACTTCCAAACCTTATTATCGATGTGTGCCTTAATGTTTGTACTTTCAATTCGGTTAAATTTACCAAGAAAACCAATAAAAATGCCTCTCATCGGTTGGCAGAGAACTTGGTGGTCAGCTGCAAGCTCCCCAACTGTTAAGCTCTTATTTTTTCGTTTGTAAATGTCATCAGCGCTACCCACCCAATCAAACTGATTGTGTGTGAGCCTCACTCCGGTTTAGGGCTTAACGGTCCACTCAGAATAGTAAACAGAGAATAAGTCTCAGTAAGGAATTGCAATTTTAGATGTTAGAATGCCTGAGAAAAAAAGATTTGCATGTTTGTATCAGTTAAAGCGAAATCAGTGGTAATAATTGTTCATTTTCAGTTTGAAGCGTTGAATTGTCGATGTAAAAAGTTCGGAAATTTTTATCATTTTTGGTCAGAGAATTTTTTTTCTCCAAGTCTGTAGACACCCTGTCTGGTGTACTCAACAATTTTTCTGTTTTTGTTTAACACGTAACTAAAATTACTCACAGTCCAGACCATTTTTCTGTCTGAAGACATGAAAATATTAACCTCGTCTCAAAAAGTGTTGGAATTTTATTTTTTTGGCGGAATGTCGAGGAAGCTCCTGAAGAAAAAAAAAATTGTGGTATTTTTCTCTAATTTTCTTAATTAAGAAGCTGGTGCACTTCCTGCTAGAACTAGGCCTAGATTGGAATCTTTTCATTCTTGCAGATTTTGTAGAGTAAGTTAATATGAGTGGACAACAGGTACTAGTTCAATTTTGTAGATGCACTACAAAATCTGTGAGCACCCTTCCCAAGAGCGCTGCAAGTCGCAAGTGACGCTTGTTGGTCCTAGCAAAATGCCCTTCACACAAAAAGCAATTTGTAACTCGATCATACGGCCAAAATTTTGTTCTGAAGGGCCGCAGCTTGCTAGTTTACCCTTGCTTACATACATCCCTCAAGAGATACACACCCTTGTATGATAGTTTTGAAGTAAAATGAAATACGAGGCCTGCAAGATTAGAAACCGGATTTTGGTGATAATTAGCCCATTTTGCGTCTAAATTAGGTTTCCTTGGACTTTCCTGGTAGCTTATGACATACTGAAGAACGCTAGATTCACAGGTTTTGTTTATTTTGATCAGTGTTCATTCTGTGTCACTTTGAATACGAGTTAGTCAGGTACGTTCTGCGATTTTCATCATGCAATCACTGATAGAGCAAAGGTTTAACATTGAATTTTGTTTTAAACTCATTATTCCTTGTGCCAAAACTTTTGGTATGCCAAGTTAAGTTTACTAAGATCATTGTTTGAGTTGTTCTCAGTAATTTGAAGGGTCTAAACGGTCGAAAACTGGTCAGGAGTCCGTCAAAGATGAGGAGCACAGGAATCGACCATCAACGGCAACTGACATTTGCCATATGGAAATAGCGCGGGCTAAAGTGCTCGAAAATGGTCGTTTCGAGTTTTCTGAGCAGTTTGCAATTTCTAAGGGCTCTGCTCATACGATTTTGATAGAATATTTAGACATGCATCAAGTTTCAGTTAAACTTGTCCCGCGATTGTTGTCATTCAACAAAAATCCAACAGAATGTCAATTCCCCTTAAGCTTCTCGAACGTTTGAACAATGATCCCACATTTTTGGATACGATAATTTCCGGTGACAAAACTTAGGTGTGCGCCTACGATATGGAGACGAAACTCCAATCATCCATGTGAGTTGAAGAAGGTAGTGCAAGACCGAAAAATGAGCAATAAGTTTGGTCAAACGTGGAAATCGCAGAACGCCCATGAGGTTGCCTTACTTCAAGCCATGTACCAACAAAGCTTATTAAGTTTTTTCAAATTTGTGAGTGTAGCATTCTTAAGTATATTTTCAGCTATCAGAAAAATCCAAGAAAACCTGATTCAGACGCGCGATGGGCTACCACCCAAATATGGCGTATCACCAAATTCCGGTTTCATATCTAACGGACCTCGTATGGCAACTGTCCCAAGCTCAGGAATAGTTCAGCAGATCCCTAATCGGTATTAAGCCTTTTTTAGACCCTTTGACAACTATTGATCACAGGTAAATAGTTACCTCTCAAAAGTTTGACTGGAGTGATCTAGCTCAAAAAATATGGCAAGAGAGGATTAAGAAGAGGTAGGTATGTAGAAAATTGTTTCCACAGAGGATTATTGAATACGTGAAGTGAAGGAGACGTTTTGCTCGGGGAGAGAAGACACTAGTAAACTAATGTATTTTTATGATTTTGCTTTGGTTGAAAGATGTTCGTATCAAACTCAGGCAGTATGTGACAAGATTTCTGCTGACATTCAGAGGAGGATGTTCATGAAACAGCACATTGAATCTTCTAGGAACTAGAGAGACTCTTGCTAAGAACAATAAAAATTACAGAGAAGAGACCTGTGAGGAAATTTAATCAAATTCAACCTTTAAAAGAGTATCGTAAGGAGTTAATCCCCATTTCTTTCTTAAAATTGTCAGTCAGAGATGCTTTTAAGTCTGGTTTCGATTTTTGCGTTGTGTATCTTCAAATTCCTTTTCTTTATGTTCGTTTGTTTCTTTTGCCTCTCGGTCAACATAAAGATAAAACCACAGGATTTGATGATGACAACACTTTTGTCGAAACCGGTTGGTGAAGAACATTAATGCTGTCTCAGTGCTTTCCCCCTTGACATCAGTTTTTCTGTGTGAGTACTTCACCATCTTTATGTTCATGCATTTTCTCAATATATTTGAATTTCCTAATCAACTTGCTTATGTTCAGCTGTTCGTAGCTTAATTTATTTTATAGAGAGAACAGGCCACTGTACCACGATTCAACTTTATGAATCATGAAAAATAATGGCACTACCATTAAACGGTCTTGTCGCTTTGATGATGTTTGATGGCCTGGCAGGTTCTTTCACCTATGAATTGGAGAGAGGTGCCCAGGATTTAGTATGACCAGTGAGCCTGAAATTAGACTTCCGATACTCTCTCCAAATCAGAAACTTACGTCCCCCTTTTTTTTTTTTTTTAATTTCATCACCAGAAACCAAAGGCTGTTTAGTCCTCATTTTTTCTAAGATACAGCCGCAGTGTTAGATGGATCTTATTCACTTTATGCTTTTTTTCACCAGTGTTAATGAGAGTTAAAGTATTGTGACATATATATATATATCTTTGATGTCTGGAATTTTGGTGTAACATTTCCCATCATCCTTTAAGCATCAAAGAATATTATCAAAGCTTACTGGTGTTAACTGAAGTCAAAAATGAACAAGGTGCCTGTTGCATCAAATATTTTGTTTAGGTCATGATTTGTACCATCGAACAATCAGAAGCAACAGAAAGATCAATAAGCATACTCTTAATATCTGTATTAGTAAGTTTCTCTTGCCTCGCGCTTTTAGCGCTAAAATTGTACCAAACACAACCTCATCAAGATATTTTTATACCATTTTAATATACTATGAACAGAGTTTCTAAAAACTCAAGGTTCAATTTTCGCTTACTTGCCAAGTCACTCAAAACAATCAACAGAAATCGCTAAAAAGTCAATAAAAATCATTTTTTAAACCTTGCTAGGCGGTTTTCGGCACAATACGCCACTGATTAAATAATTCTTGCGTCCTCTTAATCTACTAAAAATGGAGTTTCTAGAATTTGAAGAACATTTTTTGCATGTTTGCCAAGCCTTCTAAGAACTTTGCAAAAATCGCTGGCCCCTCATCTATCTAAGGCCAATTTCATTGCACATTTTTTAGGAGCAATGAGTTGCATCAAGAAGGCAAGATGAATTTATGATCACTATTTTATCTCAAAATTTATGATACTGGTCAGAAATACGACCCCCACGTTTTTCAAAATCAACTGATAGTTCAGCACGGTTCGTTTGATTAAAAGTTATATGAAATATTCTATCACTCAAAAAGTCTTTTCGGATTCGAAAAGTAGAGTAAAAATGGAGTCTTTCTAGCTAAAAATGAAAAAAGGTTGTTCGAGCTCCTGGAGAAGTATATAGTTCTTTATATTTTTTAGAGCTTATGAGAGGCTGATACGAAAATTGACTAAAAGTTACTGTTTTAATTTCTAAACTAAAATAGCTATCGAAATTATCTTGGTCTCATTTTAAAGCTGGTGTAATTTGCTGTCGATTGAGTGGTCTGCAAGCTAATTTGGTCAAAAATTGACAAAGTTATGATAGCTTGAATAAAGGGTGTCCAAAATGAGCTTACTTGTTTTCCTTACCGAGTAAGGCTCTATTTTTTCTTTTTTCCCCTTCAAGATTCAGATTTTTTTCCCCCTTATTTTCTCCAAAAATATACGGCCTCTTATGGCGAAATGGGGTTCTTTAGTAATTTGGAGCAAACAGGCGGTGCGGCATATCAATTCTACGTAACTTTTCGCGTAGAATCCATATCTGAAGTCAAAACATACCCTTGCTTTTTGAAATTTTCGATTTATGGCCCTCCAAATCCCCAAAATTTTTGGGGGGTCGTGGCCCCCAAAATTTTGGAGCAGCAGGCATTTTGATGTGGCATATGACCATATGGCACATCAATAAAAATGTATTGACCTCTCCTCTCAGGAGACTTGTAGATTTTGAAATTTTGAATAATTTGGCTGCTTACAGCATCAAATTGAAAATTGCCCCAAAAACGCCCGAAAATGTCCCATAACTCAAAAAAATGCGGGCTAAGGGAAAAAACGCAAAGAGTAAAATGTTCTGTATCATATTTTCACCTTTCTTACGTGCTTTAGATGTTAAATTTGATCGATTGTTGAAGTGGATCAAATCGATTTTCTGTACTTGGTCTCCTTGTAAGTGGCGCATTTTGCGCCAAACGTCAATAGCTGATTGTAAGCGGAACGGAACAGAAACCAAAAATTGATTTTCTCCGGAACCAATGGGTCAAATTTTAAAATCTGACGCTCGTCACAGACCTGAGAGTACTACAAATGCTGAAATTTTTACAGATTGACTCTAGTATTTTTGGTCTTGAAGGGAAAAAAAGAAGAAATAGAGCCTTACTCGGTAAGGAAAACAAGTAAGCTCATTTTGGACACCCTTTATTCAAGCTATCATAACTTTGTCAATTTTTGACCAAATTAGCTTGCAGACCACTCAATCGGCGGCAAATTACACCAGCTTTAAAATGAAACCAAAATAATTTCGATAGCTATCTTAGTTTAGAAATTAAAACAGTAACTTTGAGTCAATTTTCGTAACAGCCTCTCATAAGCTGTAAATAGTATAAAGAACTATATATTTCTCCAGGAGCTCGAACAACCTGTTTTCATTTTTAGCTAGAAAGACTCGATTTTCACTCCACTTTTCGAATCCGAAAAGACTTTTTGAGTGATAGATAATTTCATATAACTTTTACTCAAACGAACCGTGCCAGGTATTAGGGGATTTTTTATGGAAAAACGTGACAGACTACACCTCGGGTGCTTTTCGCCCCATTTTTGGGTGGTAGAATCCGAATTTGAAGTTTGCTGCCTCATAGCTATGAGGCGTTTTCCGCAAAATTGAAAAAACGTCGCCAAATCTCCATTTTTTCTAGTTATATGCTAATAACTTTTTTTGTAATGGAAAAAATGAAAATTTATTTGCACGACATGAAAGAGCATGCAATTCCATAGACATCGGTATATACATGTTCTATTTTAGCATCAAAATTGACGGAGCTCCACCACTTGCTGGGGGGCATCGAATCTATGGCTCAAGGTGAGCACTGCGCGGCGCGCGCACCGGGAGCTATGCAGCGCGGCTGTCCAACATGCCGTTTTATTTTAAGGAGGCAATCGATTTGAAACTTTCATTACAGGTAGGTAATAGGTGGGTACTTGAATAAATACGATTTTCCCAAAATTTCGTCAAGCGGTTTGCATACCCTGCTCCTCAATACCCAAAAAGTGATTTTGAAGAAGCAGCTTGTGGCAGCCATTTCTCGGTCTGAGAATGAGCTAGGAGACCTGTGGGGTATTTTAAAGTCTTAAGAAATGCCTCTAGTATCCAACAGAGCCGGATTTTTGGATTTTTAACTGTGAACACCATACGCGCGGATACGTCAAATTTAGGACTGATTGCTCCACAAGAAAAAATTGAATTTCTGTGTAGCCTGTCCGTGCATTTACTTTACCGTGCTCATTCCCAGACCAATCTCCTACCTCTCCTTGAAAATCTACCATGTCCTCCTTAATCGTAAAGGACTCATCTTTTTTAAACATGAAGGAATGAAGTTAAATAGCGAAAAAAGCATAATGACACGGAAACAGCTACATCTACCATGTAAATTGATTTGCTGTTCTACTAACTTGGTGATACATTGGATCGCTCTCTTAGAAAATCGAAAGCAGCACCAAAACGGCACAAGGAAACCCCTCCAAATGTCACTGAAATGCGATTGTCCATCGTCAAAACATAAAAAATATTTAATCATAAAAATCTAAGATATCTTGTGTTAATTCTGTTTTTCCTTCATCTATACTGTAAATTTTGTTCTCAATTGTAAGTTGCAATATTTGACACGAACGAACGAAAGAACTTATTTGGAAGAAAGTATCTAAATAAATGATCATGCTGCTTTATGCAAATTATTTACGATAGCTCAATTGCATGGGTACGTAGAACTAAACGGTTAGTAGCACAGCGAATCAATTTACATGGTAGATGTAGCTATTTCCGTGTCATTATGCTTTTTTCGCTATTTAACTTCATTACTTCATGTTTAAAAAAGATGAGTCCTTTACGATTAAGGAGGACATGGTAGATTTTCAAGGAGAGGTAGCAGATTGGTCTGGGAATGAGCTCGGTAAAGTAAATGCACGGACAGACTACACAGAAATTCAATTTTCTCTTGTGGAGCAATCAGTCCTACATTTGATGCATCCGCGCGTATGGTCTTCCTTTTCAGTTAAAAATCCAAAAATCCGGCTCTGTTGGATACTAGAGGCATTTCTTTAGACTTTAAAATACCCCGCAGGTCTCTAGCTCATTCTCAGACCGAGAAATGGCTGCCACAAGGTGCTTCTTCAAAATCACTTTTTGGGTATTGAGGAGCAGGGTATGCAAACCGCTTGACGAAATTTTGGGAAAATCGTATTTATTCAAGTACCCACCTATTACCTACCTATAACGAAAGTTTCAAATCGATTGCCTCCTTAAAATAAAACGGCATGTTGGACAGCTGCGCTGCATAGCTCCCGGTGCGCGCGCCGCGCAGTGCTCTCCGCGAGCCATAAATTCGATGCCCCCGAGCAAGTGGTGCAGCTCCATCAATTTTGATGCTAAAATAGAACATGTCGACAGTGCAAGTCAGCAATGACATAACTCGTTTGCAGTGTCTGAAAATCTCCGCCCCTTTGTCATTTTTTAAAGGAGAACAAATTGACATCATTCCTTGAAGTTTTTGCAGAATTATCTTCGCACAGAGAAGAAAAATCACGGCAGTCTTAAAGAATTGTTGATGAGTAGTTTTCCTTTTAAAAAATAAAGTATGACAGGAAGTCTGCGACGTCGCAAACCGAGTTATGTGATTGCCGACTTACACCATCGATGTATATAACGATGTCTTTGGAATTGCATGCTCTTTCATGTCATGCAGATAGATTTTCGTTTTTTCTATTACAAAAAAGGTTATCAGCATAAAACTGGAAAAAATGGAGATTTGGCAACGTTTTTTCAATTTTGCGTAAAGCACCTCATAGCTATGAGGCAGCAAACTTCAAATTCGGATTCCACGACCCAAAAATAGGGCTTATAGCACCCGTGGTGTAGTCCTTCACGTTTTTCGTGCAAGAGCTACTTTTAAGTCTCTAATGCCTGGACTATGAGCATACTGTTACAGCATACAATATATATACTGAATCAACACTAGAGAATCGAAGTAAAAGCTTTGGTAATCGGCATTTCTATGGTACTTTTTATGCTACTTGGGCTGCTCTTGAGGGGGTCCAAGTATTTTGTAAGCTACTAGGAGGAAGAAGGGGCTCTAAGCTTGGCTTGCAGGGAGAGATGGAAAATTTCATGAAATTTATTCTCGTGAAATTTCACAAAATTGTTTGAAACTTTTGGAGATGCATTTAGGAGGCCACGAAATGCTTATAAACAGTGATCCCAGATTTTTAAATTTTTCACTCAGAGTTTAATAGATTCACATGTTGCAAATGTTTCTGTTTGGTTTAGAGGTTAGGTCAGGGTTTTTCTTGCTAAACTCCCCTCTGTACCCCCACTCCCCACCTGCTTCGTGTATAGCACCTTAGTAGAGTAGCATAATACTGCTGCACCAACAGGAAAACCATTTGAAAGGCCTTCGGATCTCCAAAGGTTCAATTAATAATTCCGAAAAAAAAACTAATAAATTTCTAATTTAGTGGAATTTATTCAAGCCTTTTGAAATTTCACTTTCCATCTCTGCTTGCCGGGTTTTCCTAGTGAAGAGGGAAGTCAAACCAAGTCTTACATAAACCTCTCATTGCCAAAAAAAAGTTATTGCTAAAATTAAAAAATCAGCGATTTTTCAAACCTTACCTATTATTCTCCGAAAATGTGGAAAGTAAGAGGTAAGGCCAGTCTCTGAAGTGATTCAAAAGGAGGCTGACAGAGTCGTTCAAAATGCCTCATGTCATTTGCACTTGAATGGCCATCAGTTCAAATCAGTAAATTGTAATAAATGACTTAAAAAGTGGCAACCATGGCATTTATGAAGAGTCTCTATGATGAAAATGATTCACTCTGTCCTCAACTGAAATGATAATCACTGTCATCATATGTCACTCAAAATTGCCTGTTTAGGAATCGAAATGGAGCCTGCATTTGGACTCTTCTTGTTTTTTCCCATTTTTTCTGTGAATTTGAAAATAAACCTACGATGCAATCTATTAAATCAAAGCAATAAGAATGATCTACAACTCTTACTGAGTATCCTATGATTGGGTCTTTTCTTCATATGTTTGAGCAGAAAGTGCTGGTTGAATCCTTCTAATTCTGTCAACTTGAATCACCTAAAACTACTTTTCCAAGACCTAAATTTAATCGCGAAGTAGATTCAGTTACTTTCACTTCTAAAAAGAAAATAAAGCCTCCAAGGTCATTCTTGTTTTGTGATGAATTTTGCAAAACATGCCCAATTTTTCGCTGCATTGAATCACTGTGTGAAAGCCCCCTTCGGGCTTCAAGGGTACTTTTAGTTGTAAACACCTTTTCATGTGTCAAATTACTAAATCCAGCCATACTCAATCGCTGCATTATGGAAATAATTTATATGAGTCTATTCCAAACGTTTGCAAGAGCTAATAAAAGATGAGTTTAATCACCTGTAAAATGGCTCAAAGATTAGGATGATCACAGCAAAGTCTGAAATTCACTATTAACCCCACTATTTCTGTTCAGAATGTGCTGTTTTGATGGCATAAACATAATTTAATACGATGAGACGACCTGGTTTCGTAACTCGAAGGGAAACTTAAATTGGCCACTGTTATGTAACAGTTCTTCACATTGAAACAAAAGACAAAATTGCCTTTTTTCATCATGCCTTATTTGAAAAACCAAAAACTCATCAAAGATAAAGATATTTAAAAATAAGTTTTTATCCTCCTTTTTGATGCAAATGAAGAAGTAACATTTGTTTTTGGTTGGAACTTTCTCGATCGGGCCTCATACTTCAAGTAATTAGAAATTTCTTGTCACCTTGAAAATGTAAACGAAATGATACTTACGCTTTGACCATTTTGACTGACAGCATTGTTAGGTACCACAAGTATAACGAAAACATAGACGAAAAAGCGAAAGGAAAATTAAGCTAAAATTTGGTACACAAACACCAGTTCGCAGTCGGTGACGGGACCCGAATCGGGTACCCAGTTTTAATGATATTTCCGTTTCGTTTATGTTTCTGTTATACTCGTAGCAACTGATGATGGCGTCAGTCAAATAGCCATAAAGAAAGTTTCAATTCGTTCAAATTATCAGGGTGACAAGATATCTCTGAATACTTAGATAAGATTTACATTGGGTGAATAGGGAGAGTTAATCGTCTGATCAAAGATACTATTAAAAGAAAAAGTGGGAATATTTCTCAAGGATCCCTTGGACATAAGCCTATTCATTGTTGGCTGCTCCATCCATTTTATCCCAGCATGTGGTAGTTTCTAGGGAAATTGAGTTACATTTGGAAAATATTGTTTTCTTGGGAAAACTTAAATTTTCGAGAAAATTCTCACTTGTTGGGAAAAAATAGATTGCATTTCTGGTCCCGGCATTATAAACTGGTACGAACATTTTTAAGTCAATGCTGCTTTTTTCTCTTTCTATCAAGTACCATATTTTAGTGAAGTTACCAAACCTCCGCCATAATCCTTCTTTTTCTTTTTCTTTTTGTCAACAGCCTCCGTTAAGTACTTCTGATCCAACCAATCACCATTCTCAAAAACCGGAATCTTCTGAAGTGCATTAGTAGGTTGCCGAGTTTTTACTCATTCAAAACATGTAAGTGAAACAAATTTCTTTGAGAGAATCCGAAAAGTTTGTACTAAGTTTATGACCCTTTGGTTTTGTAAAAATTAATACCAAGAAAGAAATAAAAAGACAGAAGTGAAAGAAGAAAGAAATCATAGGCAATTAATTATTAATATGTGTATGTTCTCTTAATTTTAGCATACAATTTGATGTCGCTCTTGCTTCATCTTGAGTATGCTACAGGTTTATTCTAACTTTAGGGCCATCATGATCTGACTGTTCTGATTGTAACATACCTCAGCTGATTGTAATCGGCCTGAGCTGACTGCAATTAGTCCCGATCTATTTGAATAGGATCTTGATAAGTCACGTGATAGCAATAAGCCTGGGCTGGTTTTGATAAATGTGGGCACATAGCAATCAGTTCAAATGAAATTAGACTGATTGAAATTTAACCTTTAAACAAGCATGGGGCAACGAAAATATATACGGCTCAGCATGATGAACAGGAAATGATGTACAATTTGATATTTGGCAGAGGAAGCTTACCTCACTGTAGTCTTTTATTAGTGCAGATAGATCAATTGTAATTTCAGATGAGCCAAGTCCTCTATTTTCCTTTTTCAAGCAACTTTATGCTTTACAACTGTCTCAGCAGCTGCTTTTAATGATGGTCAGGTTAAATGGTCTTCAAAATTTGAGTTTTTGCATCGCAAGAAATGTAGTAATGTCTCACCAGATGAAATGTCTTCAACACTGTCAAAATTGGACGTGCAGTTGTAGTTCAATCGCTGATTAAAAAGGTTTCAGAACACTATTCTTTGCTGCAACTTTGTACACACTTCAATCAGTAACTTCTGGAATAACATACATAGATCACATTTTTGTGTGTCCTTTTTGGCATGGTCAATGTCTGTAAACTGTGTAGTGACGTTTGAGCTTTCCCTCAGAGGTAATGCATGAAACATGGTTAAATACCTACCCTAAACACAATTTTTTACATGGAACCAGTGAAACACTATGCAAAACTGTGTTGATTTTCTTATCTTGCTTACTTGTAAAAATATGCCCACAGTATCTGCAATCTATCAAAAACAAAATGGGACATCTGACATGAGTAGGCCAGACTGTTGCGGTTCCTTGTTAATATACACAGTTTGCCAAAGAGGTCTTGGCACCACATTCCTCGTTTAAAATTCAATTTCTAATCAGCATTGTTTTGCTTCGAGTGTGATTATTGTGATCCATCAGTATCCCATTCAAATCGACCTGCGCTGATTGGAGATCAGCCCAGTTAAATTGGGGTCGGCCCTAAATTGGCATCAGCCCGTTTTTTTTTTTTTTTTTTTTTTTTTTTTTTTTTTTTTTTTTTTTTTACCATCAAGAAGGGTGATGTCCACCTCTTCAAGCTGCTTCATAATGCCTCTTTAAAGTGACAGGATGTCTACTGTACTAAAAAACCACGGATTTTGATTGATTGTCACGGAAGTACAGAAAATGTTCGGATTTGTCATTAGAAGGTTCAAATATGACATCTGATATGATATTGATTCCCAGACAGTAAGTCCACTGAAAAGAGGTCGCACAAAATGGTCAACTTTTTTGGCCTTCACAGAAAATGTCTACAACTTAAAAGATATTCTATTTGAGTGCCTAACAGAATAATGTTAACATGGAAAGTGTCCATGAAAGGAAAATGTTGGTACAATGTTTCCTCTCCCTAAACTCCAAACTCATTTCTCAAAAATGTTTTACAGTTAATTAGCAAAAATCTGCAAGGAGTGCATCCTGCTGTTTTCTCTAGAATTTTCCATGGTAATGTGATATCATTTAGGAGTAGTAACAGTAGTAATCGTCAGTTCAGCCGTAGTAGGCATAAGTATAAGGTAGGCACATCATCGGTCTCCTTGCATCTTGCATTCATCTGGATATTCTCTGCAGCAATTTGGGAAGAGCCAAGAGGCAAGAAAGCTGTATTTGTCCAAAGAGGGGCAGTGCATGGGCACATTCCATGACCAAGAATAGTTGACTTTTGGTGTGTAGACGATTTTGTTGTAGACCTACTGCTTGCATACCATTTTCGTGGTTAACAATAAAAATAGCCTGCGGGCTCTGCAATTTAGAGTTCAGTATCACAGTATCATTTTAGTCCACTTTCTCAAGCGCTGGTAGTTTGATTTTTTCGTGTTTCAGATCATTCTGGTCCAACTCTTCATCACTCCTACATTCCTCTCTATGTATTCGAATTTGTTTTCACTTCTCCAAGTTAAAGCCAATCTTGTTTCTCTTAACTTGGTATCAAAAGCTTGCATTGTGTTTTTGTCGCTAAATATTAAAGATCATCGAGAACATCAGGAAAACTATTTATGATACAAATATTAAAACATCATTCATTGGTTTGTCAGGGAAAAAATATTTTGCTCTTTGCTGAGTCTAAAATGCAAGTAAGATAAGGGAAAAGTATTGAGAAGTCAAGGATTCTTAGAACCCTTCCTCCCCCTTTCAGAAAGAAATTTTTTGGAAAGACAGGAAAGAGTAAGGACTTAAAAAATAATGAGGTGCCAGTAGCATCCTGACTTAGCTGGGCATCACTCTCCAACATCCCATTCATCTTTTCCTAATTACCTAAGCTTGCATAACTCAGAAAGAAGTTGATACTGATACTAGGAAGTTTTTGAAATCAGTTTTTAAGTACTCAAATATTCTTCTTTGAATTTCAAATGGACAATATGTTGCAATTAGGAATTATAATATCTGGCTCAGGTTCGAAAAAATATATGCACCATTTGGTCCAGCGAGGCGCTCAAGTGTTTTTCTGTGTGAGCCAGAAATTGTAGTCCCTAATCGCAGATTTTCCAAATTTTTTTGCGAAGTCATAAAGTTGCATACCTATGTAATTCTTAGTGGATTTCTATGGCTTGTATAATTCAAATTTGATGGAAAAAAAGAATTTGTGTAAATATGTTCAATTCTTCAGAGGTCCTCTTGCTATTCCACACCTCATATAATTATGAGTAGATACTTCACGGAAAAATCTGACAAGATTTCTGTCGACATGTTTATTGTCCATGTGCTTTTGCGTAATGGTTCTCAACAAGCCAAAATGCTTTACACCATGGTTACCACCAATCACTTTGATGCCAGCGCTGCCTATCTGTTACACTGGGACTTAGTACTGAAGAATTAGCTCTCTGTACGCTCCGTAGATAGTGCCTCTATTGCACAGCAGTGCATTAAATATGAGCTGCACTAAGTGCTGGCCACTGTCTCTACAACCGCCATAGAGGTGAACTTGATGTTTTATATACTCATTATTTTCGTACCTTTCTAAAAACTATGAGAAATAGATGACAGCCTGAAATATTTGCATGTGAAAATTTTACAGTAGAGTCCTCTTTTTTCCTCATCAATCATGAACACTTTAAGGATACAAATAAGGGGGAAAGTGGTAATGCCTTAAAATGAAAATTTCTTAATTTAAATAGAAGAATCTATCTTTCTCTACTTCTACTGCCTTTTAATTTTGCCAGAAATCATGAAATAGTTCTGCAGTTTCTATGCCCTCTCTGTATTACAACTTCTCTCTCAAAATATTGAATTTTTCTGGTCAAGAACTTGTCTGATCCTACCCAACATGACTTTACCACTATTTTGCATCCTGAGGAACATAATCATGTTCGTTTTTCATCCCTTTTGTACCTGCTCCTCCTATATTGTTATCTCCCACATGTTCTCGAAAGCAGATGATTTGGTTGTATATCTTCAGTCTGGTGTTGGCCAACATTTGTGTTTTCTGATGAGCCACTTTGTCCTACGTCAAATGATGGTGAAGGTGTAAACTTTGAAATTGTTTTATCATTCGCCGAAGTAAATGTGTCATGTGCAATCTAATGAATAGCTAATGAAATCAAGTTAGTTTCAGCAAAAGTATTCTTGGTACTTTACTCCTTTGAAATCAGTATTTAATTATTTTCTATTGGACTTTGATCTGTTATCCTCCTCAATCAGCAAAATGGTTCTGGTCAAACTACTTAGATAATCTGTTATCATATTTACCTGTGCGTTTGTGCATTTTGGGCACTGTTTATTAGCAACCAAAAAATAACTTTGAAAACGGGCTGCTGGTTTTTTTTTTTTTTTGATTGGGAAAAAAAACGCCTATCATCGAATATCAAGGGGTGCCAAAATCGTACGACTGTCATCAAAGGAGATCAACTACCTCCAAGATGTTTTGTTTTCCAGAAGAGAGAACAGAACTACCTCTCAAAATTGTGAAAATTTCACTTAAAAACTGTACTCTTACAAATAAACTGGCTGGCATTTCTGACTAAAAATTTCACTGATTTTCGTTATGATTGTATGCTAAATTTCAGGCTGAAATTGCTATTAAAAGGAAATGACACTGTGTCTCACCCAAATTTCCATAGGGGCGGGATCAAAAGTCGTCGTGCACAAAACTCCATTTTGTTGGTTTTGGAGATGGACTCTGGACGATTACCCAAATAAACTATTTAAAAAAATTTTCGAAGAGGATTACAAGCTGATGTGCTAAATGAGACTCAATGGGTTTCAACATTGAAGTAGTGTAGTGGCTTAGAGCGCTGCGCACTACCTGAGAGATTAGCTCTTTAAATCCAAGCAATCCAACTTCATCCTTTATTGATTCTGTGATTTGGTGCTTAATTTTTTCCTATTCTCTTTCAACTGTACACATAATCATGCTGTTTTGGATATCTGAAGAAACTTATTTATTATTTTCATAATTACCAATCTTACAATGCTTCTGTAAACGAAAAAAATAAAATAAAAAGCTGCAGAAAAAAGCAGCAGACTGTGTGAAAATATTCATCTATTAACCATTTTGTCACCTCTGTTGATAACTGCGCTCTCGAACGGATGTAGCAAGAGATTACTTACAATAAACGGGAAGAACAACAGCAAAAACTAGGCAAAAGATCATAATTTTTATTTATTTATCACAATATCATAGGGAATAATCTCAATGAATAGGCAAAGTGAAGTATGTTTATACGATAGCAACAAGCAGGAAAGAACAATGCATTCAAATCCACACAATTGATGAAAAAACACAATGAGACAGATGAGAAGTATTAACAAACAGAGGCAAATTAGGAGAAAGCTGTACGAGGTCTGCTCTATCAGAAACCGGATTTTTGTGATAAATAACCCTCTGTATGTCCGAATTCGGGTGACTTACTGAAGAATACAATTTAAAAAGATTTAAAAAATTCAAACTAGGTCTGTTGGTACACGGTTTTGGAGTAAGACAACCCTAAGAGGGTTCTGCAATTTTTTAGGAACTCCTGCCAAGAAGTAGTCACTTGCTCCCAATCTTTGTATTTAGCAGCTAATTCAAAAGAAAATTGTTATTTGTTGTTCATTAAAGATCGATTATCCCCAGATTGTCACCTCTTTTGAAATAATCCCCGCCAACATCAATGCTTTTTTACCAATTCCGCTGCTTTTGCAAAAAACTCGTTTTAAACTCCGTGGGGTGGATTGCTCACAGCTCCATGCAACAATGACTGCAAGCAAGTGATCACTCTTTGGCAGGAATTCCTATAAAATCGTAGAACACTCATGAGGTTGCCTTACTCAGAACCGTGTACCAACAAACCTAGATTGATATTTTTTAAATTCGTGAATGCTGCATTCTTCAGTATGTTGGACACCTTCCAGAAGAGTCCAAGAGGACCTGATTCGGACGTACAGTGGGCTAGTTATCACCAAAATCAGGTTTCTCATTGAACAGACCTCATTCACAGACATGAAAAGATTAACATCACAGTCAGAACTCCAATAGGAAGCACTAACAGTCAATGCAGAATCTAAATAGGGCAAAGAAAATAAAAATAACCGGAAGTGAAAACACTTGAATACCAGAAATATTCTATTGAATACCTCTTGATTTCTTCTGGTATATTACTTTGAATTTTTGAACAGCTGAACAGTGCTTATTTGATCAATTTTCATCTTCTTACAATATGTATGACCATCGTTTACAAAGTAGTGTTTAAAAAAAAAAAAAAAAAATTGGTAATGTTTCCAGTTGGAAGGAAATAAGATAAAAGTTGTGGAAAACAATCGCAGAAACGAATTTTAATTTTGTTAAAATCCTGGAATTCATACCACTGATTTCTGGATCAGTTCACAGCGCTGGAAACCACTCCTTTACATCAGCGCTGAAGTATGAAGAGAGTAGCTTAGCTACATGAGCAAGTGCTGCTTCTTTTTGCCAAATTTTTAATAAAAAATTTTGGGGTTTGTCTGGAGCCCATTTGCAAAAATGGCAAAATAGGGTTCCAATGGTTTTGCCGGAAGAAACTTTTGGCGTTACTCTGAGCAATATCTAGGTGGGACACCATGTGAATTTCCCTCGTGAGTTATATTCCTGTCATGGATAGAATTGTTTGAGTCAACTTTGCAACCCTCGGAAGAAGTTACTTTTCTTTGTCCAGGAAATTACTAATTGGAGATAAATATAGAGGGAGAGTCTGAGTCAAGTGCGTGCAGGAACAGTGTTTAGTTGTTCATTGAAAGCAACGCTGAAAGCACATAGGGACTTCTTACACGGTGTGCAAAAAGTATGGATACTAATTGAAATCTCAATACTGCTGTGCTAAGAAAAACGCTGTATGAGCCGTCAGACTTTCCAAGGACAGCTTTTTTATTTCAATTTTTCAGGCAATTTTGTTCTCACTTTAACCTGAGAAATTTTGTAACATTCGAATGTTTGTGCAGAGTTTTTCCTGAGCATGGCAGAATAGTGATAACTAAAATAGACGTGCGGTTTGAACAAAATTGAAGCGCTAGGTGCAGACAAGCATTTCTTGATTGTGTTATCTCAAGATTTCTGTTAACGTTTCATCCCTTGTGATAGAACTAAAAATTTCAGAAATTTCTTCTAATAGTTTCCTCTGTAAAACATAATTAGCAGTGGAGATTTTGAAACACCACAACCAAGAAATGCCCTTTCTCAACCCAACGCCCTGATTCCTTTGGAATAAAGAAATCAATTTTTTTTTACCCTGCGCCTTCTAGAGTGAGGTGGGCAACTTGCAAATTTCCAATGGAGACCCTCCTCCCCCCCCCCCCCCCACCACTGGTCAATGCTTTGTCAGGAAGATTATAAAACAAAAGACATTTTGGGGAAAAGTGAAACTTTTATCGTTTCAAAATGGCAGAAAATTGATCTTTGTTGAATTGGAAGAACAGGATGGAAGTTGATTATTGAGGGTTTCCTAGCGTGCAAAGAATGAATCTAACATCAAATCCGAATTTGTAGATTTCTTTTCTAGATGGTCGGCAACTCACTGCATAACCTACTTTTAGCCACTTTAAAGGATGCCATCTTGAAAATGAATCAACATTTTTGATCTCAATGGCAGATTTGTTCTGTTTATGCCAAAAAACCCTTAATCTCAAATCCTATCCAAAGACAGATACAAATTTTCCGCTAATTTGAGCTTTAGTGGCCGCCATTTTGAAACAATGACATTCACCTGCTGTTTTCGCTAAAATTTTCATTTTTTCATTTTCTCTCCAAGGAGATATTACATGATAAGAATTCCCCTTTTAAATTCACAAGTTGCCCCCTCTTCTTTATGTTCATTTTGCATACCAGAGTGTATTATAAATTTCGCTTCTTCTTCATTTTTTCTTGAAAAGCTGACATTTCTTGTCGATCTGGGGAAAAAAAAGAATGATCGTGAAATTTGCTGCTGTAGAAGGGAGTTTTTTCCCCCCTCCCCCTCTTTCTGGAATCAACTTTTGGGCACCACCTCACACCTGAGACATGGAATAGTGAACAATTACTAACCAACCTGGTGATGCCTGGCGCTCTTAACACTTAGCAAATTCGGGAATTCGAATTACTGTTTTCATGGGATGATTCAACTGCTATCTCAATTCTCATTTTTTGGTCCGCCCTCTAACCAGGTTAAACTTTACTTATATGTCAATCCTTATGTCTTCTCCTAAGTGGCATTCTGTTTAGTGTGTGCGTGTGTATCTAAGTACGTACATGGAAATTTTCTATCTTCCACATCTGTCTGCCCCCTCCTCCCTAAATGTTTCTTGAAGTCTCATTAGACCTCCGCAAGAATTTTTAAGCCAAGTCTAAGGCACTGAGACACATATCTAAGTTGACAGAGTTTAATATAATCCTCAGCAATCAAAGGATGGGTATACAGTGAGCATACCAGAGTCAAAGAATAATTGCAATTTTTTTCAACCCATCATATTATTTTTTAACTCCTACTTTTAAAGTGGATGATGGAAATTCTCCTGAAAAATTAGTTTCTTTTTTTGTGCTTTTATTTTTGCAAAAGATGATTTGCTCTTTCTTCTTGATCTCGTCTGATAAAAAGAATCACTTCCAAGACGTTAAGTTTCTGTGCAAAGAAAGGAAGGGCGATTAATGAGTGGTTTACTACAAATTTGCCTTCACACTTAGATTCCTCTGTGTTGAGGCAACTTCACCACTGCTACCATGTAATATTTCCTCTATCAAGCCTTGATGGAAACATTACCCAATTTTTTTCCATTTTCTTATTCTTTTGGTGGGGGAGGGGCGTGGTAGAGGTTTCTGAAAATTCTACGTTGTATCAAATGACGGACCAGCTAAGACGATATGGAGAGGGTTTCAAATCTGTCAACACGTATTAATAGATATTTCTCCCTCCCTCCCTCCCTCCCTTCCTCCCTCCCCCCCCTCCGGTTTTTAATTTTTTGACTCCTTGAAAACTATTATAGCTAACGTTATTATTTTAGTGATATCTCTATCTTTATTTTTAAGTTAGTGGTTTAACTTTTCAATTGTTAATTTTAAGTTGTATTTTTTCTCTCTGTCCATAAAGTATTGAGTGCGTGTTGACTTAAGTTTGTATCCGCAGTTTCCTTTTTACGTTTTCCAATAATCATTATTAATATGTATTTATATTTTTCTTTATCTGTCAACTGCTTCAATCGACGAGAGATTATAATTGGTGATTTAAATCTGCTGTTTCATCACCAGACCATTCAATGTATCAGGTGTAATTAGTCAATCATCATAATTCCCCTGCAAGGTCTCTATTTTGTGCAATATCTTTAATCAGAAATAGTCTTTTTATTCATTAAATTTAATTATTTTTCTTTCTTTTGGCAATGGTCATTAGTCCCCTCAAAATGAGATACTTCAATTTGACCATTGATAAATGGATAGAAGAGTCCCAATTATTGTGAAACAAAAGAACTCTTTCTGTTGACGTGTGTCTTTTATAACCTTTTTTGAAGTTCCCCTTAGTTTCTGCCGAGACAACGCTTTGTTTGGTTCCCTTTTACTTTTACTGAGCACTTGAATTGTGGAACCGAATTTAGTCAGGCCTGCTACCGGTACTTAAAAATTCTCAGGACAAGTCACGACTGCATTCAACTCCGTCCTAGAGCCCTTAATTGGCTGGTGGTGCGGTTCAGACTCAATGACGGATGTCCCATTTCAGTGCTAAATTCCCAACAAAAGTAGGTTCCTGTAAATGTAAACTGAGCTGATTTCGATGTATCATCAGCATCAAGTATGCATCATCTGTATAATATTTTGACTGTAATTTTTCAAAAAGATTTGAAGAAACCAAACCTGAGAGTTTCAAGTTTTTCCCATAAACAGTTCCTTTTCTGAAGGAGGACCACATGGTTTACTTTGTGATGAAGAAAATTTCAAATGGACGGCACAAAGCAAAGGAACCATGTCACATCAGCCATTGCCAAAGAACCCTGCACAGAATGGGAGGCTCAATGGCTCTCGATAGATTTTGATAACTCTTTATTAGATGACGTAAGGTTCATTATTAGCACAAAGCCATAAAATTAGCTTGTTCCAACGAGTAGAAGCAGAGATATTCACGATTGAACACTGACTATTTTCTGTCATATCATACCATGATGAAGGACTTACAAATCCTCTCTCCTCTGGTTGTTGGGCTTTTTCGATCAGACCTCATACATAGTTAGGTGCTCATACGTTCAGCTGGTTCATAGACCCCTCCTTCCCGCGTCTGCTGTTTCTGTTTCAGCAATTTTAAGTCATTTTAGAGGAGAAGTGCGAGAGATAGAAAGACTCCATATCGAACTGCCCGAGCAGCTACCTGGAGGAGAGAGAGGGTTTCTGGGCTGAAGTCTGAGGTGTTCAAGCACAAGAAAAGCCGACGAGGAGCGCCCATTTGTCTCCGCTGCACAGAAAATGGCCCATGTTTAATCGCAAATATCTCGGCTTCTACTCGTTAGAATGAGCTAATTTTTTGTGCTAACGATGAATTTTATTTTAATCCATTAAAGGTTCATCAAAATCTGCCGGGAGCCACTGAGCCCCCTGTTCTGTGTGGGGTTCTTTCATTAAACAATTTTTTCCCCCCTAGGAGAAGAGGTATATAAATTTTTTTGAAAATTTCACCTCACAGAAAATGTACCCTAAAACTTTCAAAAGAATTCACAATGTTACTCTTCTTAAGAAATAACATTCCAAAGAAAGTTAGCGAAAACTGACGTGACTTGATTCCTCTCTGCCTAATGCGGTCCAAATATGCCTCTACCCCAGGACCAGAGAAAGGGCAATTTTTATGGACTTGGACTTAAATTGAATTGAATAGAATAACTTGAAATTGATACTTGTAGTAAACTTACTGGAATGTTTGCTATCACTTTAGTTGAAAATATAAATAGGAAATATTTTCAATGTCGACAACTTTAAGTGTGGCGATACCTATTTTAAAATTTGCTTCATTATTATGCAAATGATCTTTTTTCAGTTTCCTCAGTATCCATTGCAACTCCAGACAGAAACATTAATTGAGAAAGAGGAAAGGAGCTATTTTGCAGAATACCTTTGATATACACCCAAAAATCGTAGTACTTACTGCTAAAGTACAATCATTTTTCTTATTTGGCTTGCAGAATCCTAAAATTGAGAGTCTTGTATTTTTTAGATGTCAGGATCGCAGCTTTGAAACTAAGCATCATTAAATTTCATGCATTGTGTATTTCTTCAAAGATGGAGGAAATGCAAATTGACTATATGTACAGATTGTGAAAAAAGAAAAGAGAAATTGATAATCTTAAGTTTAATTGATAAGTAGAGATAAGTTTAGTGAATGTATCTTTTCATTCCTTACTTTTGGAGAAAGGAGTAGAGGCCATTTTTGGGTGAGGAATTGAATAAAAAATGATATTATGCAGCGACAAATGCTTGATTTGAAAAGCATGATAATTTTTAACTATATCTTTGCATCAATATTTTACATGTTCATTATGTTTCATCATCATTTTTTTCTATTGAAAAGTTCTCCCTTCATCCACCGTTCAACTCAAGACACATTGTCTTATTTCCTGATAGTTAACATTTTTTGTATAAATAAAAGGCTATCATTAATTTCATTCATTAACATTAATTTTAATTTTTCAACTTTATTTACTTCATTATGACTTAAGTATGAATAAATTCTAGATTTATCTTGTCACCTAGTTTTTTATCTTTTTTAATCCTGAAAGTTCTCTATTTTTGGTTTAAGCCTCTAACCAATGAAGGAGGTCAACATATTAAGTAAGGTAACTCTTGTGTGATTTTGGGATAAGGAGGTTCTTACTTGAAATTACAAAATATGTAGGATCCTCAGGGTTGCAACCTGTAAGCATACCAGCAGGGCATCCTGATTTTTGAAATTTTCTGTTTGTCCGGTAGAATAGATGACATAGCACGGTGCCCCTGAACTCACTTTAAATGCGACTTTGTTGTACATCAAAAATTCAAGTTGGAGGTTGTAGTGGGGTACTTCCTGATGGGTTTTTGGGCAATTTCAAAATAGGTTGTCGGAGCTCCTCGAAAAATAATCGCATTTTTGTGGTTTTTTAGGGGTAAAATAGCAAAATTGGCCTCCGGGCGACAAATTAAACCCCCTCTCCCTCATCCTTGCCTTGACCGATCTGAATTTTTAGTATGTTTTTACCTGGTATAAGATGGGACTTTTCTGAAATTTTCATGCCCATACAAATTTTTTTGCTCCCGCGGCAGCGTTGCCAAGTTGCGGACTCCAAAATATCGAATTTAATGATAAAATGAAGGTTTCGGAGTGTGATTTCCATTCAAAATCAAAAATTCAAATTGTAAGTTGTAGTAGGGTACTGCCTGATGGGGTTTTGGCCAATTTCGAAGTAGAGTGTTTGAGATTTTTGAAAAATAATCGAATTTTTGCGGTTTTTTAAGGGTAAAATAGCACACTGAGCACGGGGCGGCAAGTTGAACCTTTTCTCTCTCATCCTTGCCGTGACCGATCTGAACTTTTAGTATGTACTAACCTGGTATAAGATGTGACTTTTCTGAAATTTTCATGCCCATACAAAATTTTTTGCCCCCCGCGGCAGCGTTGCCAATTTGCGGACTCAAAAATATCGAATTTGATGATAAAATGAAGGTTTCGAGGTGTGATTTCCTCCAAAATTTCACGAAAAATGTGCAATCTGAGAGTTTTCGATAAGAAAAGGCATACTTGAACAATTTAGAGTTGCAGTGTTGCCAGCTTTTGATTTAAAATTCGTCAAAATGATCCAAATCGCGTTGCAACCTCGAGCGCTGGATTTTTATTTCGTTCAGAATTGGTTATTACGGTTTTTTTGTACTCTATGCATTTAGGTACCATGAAAATTATGCCATTACTTACTTGATGGGTGCAGCTAACTCAAAAAGAGAGGCCGGATAAAGCGATGAGTCGGGGGAAAACGAGCGGTTCGGGTTGACAGAAAGTTCTTAAATCTACTCCATCACCAGAAAGTAGAATTTGAGAACTTTCTCCCACCCCCCAAACCTTATCCCTGTTGCAGTCAATCCTTTGAACATCTGATCTGAAATTTTGCTCCCGAATTTTTACCAAAACATGATGTGTTTTTGCACAAAAACGTGTTTTTATTTTTCATGTTTTTGGTAAAAATTCGGGAGCAAAATTTCAGATCAGATGTTCAAAGGATCTATCTATGTCATCTATGTCTACCCGACAAACCCAAAATTTCAACAATCAGACTGCAGGAAAACTGAATGAATCAGATGCTGCAGGATGAAGCCAGCAATTTTGGACTGACACAGGGAATATCTCCTTGTACGAATCTATTATTGATGAAGGGAGACAGGTAGCCAATCATAGTAATCAATGCCAAAGAGGTTGTCCCATTTTCCATAGGAAATGGCCGCAAGAGCTTTTCCTTCATACTTTCAGGAAACATAACGTATCATCGGAGAGACCTAAATCCGGTGTCATTTCCCGTCTAGCCCTCCAGGGGGAGGGGGTCAAAGGTCAAACGCTCTGACCGCCATAACTTTTCAACGAATCATCAGATCAACTTGATCTTGGGCTCAAATGAAAACTCTTGACGAGACGTTTCATTTGATGTATAGTATTGTCTGTTTTTGGTAATTTCTCAATGTAAACAAAAATCATTGTTTGATTTTGCAAGGCCCAGAAATTCAGTTTTTCGGGGTTTCCTACGAAAGGGAACGCATGAATCATTACAAATACCAATTGAAATGAAAGTCCTTGATTCAAGCTTTATAACGAGCGATTGTTGAACCTGGGGAAATGAATAGTTCAAAAGTTTTGACTGTTCAAAGTTGGCATGGCGCGCTATTTTTGAAGTGCGCAGAGTGTATACTCGCGTGCCACCCCTCCCTACCTTTTCCCCTGGTGACCACTTCAGCTGATAACGGATACAGGAAGGTCTTAAGCTCCTTTCACCTAAAGAATGACCAATCATTGGTGCAAAATTACTTTCATTTCTAACGAGAAAAGGAAATAAAAATAAATTGAATGGTAATAAACGACAAGACGCTGGCATACATTATTTTTTCGCCCCCCCTCCATGATTCAATATTTAATATCCAAATCAAGCCTCTTTTACTACAAAATACACTCAAAAGCTTTAGGTAATATTGATAGGCTTTAGTACGCAACTAGCCGACCAGCACTTGAAACTCTCATTTACTACTGAATAACCTCTCTCCGATCTATTCCCTCTCATCAAGATTTACCTGCACGGGAATAATCAGATACCGCAATGATGGGAAGCTTGATTTGGATATTAAATATTAAATCATGGAGGGGGGGGAGGCGAAAAAGTAATGTATGCCAGCGTATTGCCGTTTATTAGCATTTAATTTATTTTCATTTCCTTTTTTCGTTAGAAATGAAAGTAATTTTGCACCAATGATTGGTCACTCTTTAGGTGGAAGGAGCTTTGGACCTTTCTATATCCGTTATCAGCTGAAGTGGGCACCAGGGGAAAAGGTAGGGAGGAGTGGCACGCGAGTATACACTCCGTGCGCTTCGAAAATAGCGCGCCATGCCAACTTTGAACGGTCAAAACTTTTGAACTATTCATTTCCCCAGGATTCATGCGTTCCCTTTTGTAGAAAACCCCAAAAAACTGAATTTTTTGGGCTTGAAAAATCAAACAATGATTTTTTTTACAAAGGTCCCGTCAAGAGCTTTCATTTGAGCCCAAGATCAAGTTGATCCGATGATTAGTTCAAAAGTTATGGCGGTCAGAGCGTTTGACCTTTGACCCCCGCCCCCTGGAGGGCTAGACGGGAAATGACACCGGATTTAGACCTCTCCGATGATACGTTAGTATCATCCTGATACTAACGATTCCTGAAAGTATGGATGGAAAAGCTCTTGCGGCTATTTCCTATGGAAAATGGGACAACCTCTTCAGAAGAATTGGTTGAAATATTTGGCGAATCCGGACTGAGAGAATCAATTACATTTTGCAGTCAAACTTAGCTTGGATTAGCTGAGCAAACCTAAGTTTAAATAGGGCGCTCTGTCAAACTTAGGTCAGGGTTTCCACAGTCAGAGAATTTTAGAAAGTCAGGGAAAACCGGGAAATGTCAGGGAAAATGTGTTAAATCACCTTCATTTGCTTGCTATAATGGGTTTGAGGTCTTGAACAACAAATTTCGCCTAAAAACTGTTTTTAATTATGCCGTCTTAAGCACCCGTCACATCTTGAATTGTCAGGGAATTTCACCAAAATGTGTCAGGGAAATGAGGAAAATGTCAGGGAATTTCATTTTCTAAATTCTATGGCAACCCTGTTAGGTCTAAAAAATGGGTTGGTGGTCGGACCTAACAATGAGTCTGGCCAGACAAGAGAATTTTATGCACGTGGCCAAACCTAGGTTCAACTGCTTTCCCTGTAAGGTCAGATCTAGGTGTGACATGATGAACCCAGATGATGAGAAGAAAAAAAAGATTTGACCCTTTCCTTTGAAAAAACTGAGAGCAATGAGTTTACACTACACTTTCATGGGATCACACGTGTCACATGTTGGCTCCCCTGTCCATTCCGCATGGGAGCACATGTGATCACGTGTCATTCCCCCGGCAACACTTGTGATCACATGTCATTTCCAAGGGGACATTTTTAGCAGGGTTCAAGAAAGCTGTGAAAGATATAATTTTCCAGCCAGGAAGTAAGCATTTTAAATGGGTGAGTTGCGGTGGTCACTGAATCGTGTTTTGATGCTTGATTCTTGTTAGTCCAGTAAACGAAGGCATATATGATACGTCTCCGGCCGAAAACGAACATACGGCTGGATTTAGGCCCAATCGATTCTTCATATGAAAAGGAGTTTTTAGCCAAAAGTCCCAATGAATCCCCTCGGGGAACTGCGCACAATGGTCCGATGAAGTTGAAAATTGGACATGTTTTCAAAAATTCACCACGAAGCGGGAAATGGACCTAGAGAGTTCATTTTTAGTCGTGCGGCGAAGCCGTATAGACTCTAGGTTTCGCCGGAGGCTAAAAAATGTCCACACTTTTGGGCTAAGTCCAAGAGGAGAATTTTCGAGGAACCAAGTAACATATGAAGTAATGATATCGGTGCATTTTGGCCCAATGGAGATGTTACATGTGCGAGGAATTTGCAATTTGACTGTTGATTCTTGTTTAAAAGTTCGCGAGGAACACGATGGTGCCACTGGTTTTCTCTGAAATCATCTCCCAAGCTCAAAAAAAGCTCTCAAGTTGAGGCCAAAATGGAGGGGATATCCCACCCTACCCTGGTAGTCCACGTCTACATGAAGACAAACTCTCCATGCAAAGATAGGGAGCAAATACATTAGCAGGGTTGCCGTGTTTTCAGTTTTGGAGTCCCCAGACAAAATGGTAGCCCTGTCAATGTATTAGCTCCCTATCTTTGCATGGAGGGTTGGTCTTGATCTAGACTTGGACTCTCAGGGTAGGGTGGGATATTCCCTCCATTTTGGCCTCAACTTGAGTGCTTTTTTTTAAGCTTGGGAGATGATTTCAGAGAAAACCAGTGGTGCCATCGTGTTTCTCGTGACCTTTTACACAAGATTCAACAGTCAAATCGCAAAATCCTCACACATGCAACATCTCCATTATGCCAAATGGAATTTCTGATCATTTAGCCATGGTTTGGTAGCGTTTAGCAATCAACTGTGACCAT